ATATATATATAGGGTGCAGTTCCGGTGAGAACACTTCTTAACATGAGAAATGAGAACACTCCAAAACGATGCACTTTATCCTTCACAAAACTGCACATTTATAGTTAAAGTAATGCAAAATTCTAGTGTGCACATTTACGTTTAAAATTTTGCATTGACGAAATGCACATTTTCCAATTTTTTATATGCACGTTTCTGTTTTACATGATGCACAATGCTCAAATCCAACGCTCCAGAATCATTCTCATTTCTCTCCTAAGATGGTATTCTCATTTGATCATTACCCTATATATGGAGTGGTTCCAGTGAGAAAGGACTTTTAGGAGAGAAATGAGAATGAATCTAGACCGTCGGATTATATTATGTAAAATTGAATTGTGCATATGGTAAAAATGAAATGTGCATTAAGTGAAATTGAAATGTGCAGAATGAAACGTTAAACTCAAATGTGCATTATGTGAAATTGAAACGTGCAGAATAAAAGGCACAAAAATGTCACCGCATTGTAGTTTTGATTCTGCACATTTCAGTTTAACCTAGTGCACATTTCGGTTTGGTCTAATGCACAATTCAGCTTCACATAATATCATTGTGCCTTACTTTTTGGGCTGCACATTTTGATTTCACCTAATGCACATTTCAGTTTCACTTAATGCACATTCAATTTCACAAAATATAATCTAACGGTCCAGATTCATTCTCATTTTTCTCCTAAGATCATTTTCTCACTTGAACCTAATTCTATATATATATATATATATATATATATATATATATATATATATATATATATATATATATATATATATATATATATATATATGTGTGTGTGTGTGTGTGTGTGTGTGTGTGTTTACAGATATAAAGGATCGGTAAGATGCTTTGACTATGTTTTACTCCTATTTGGAGCAATTCCTTTAATTTATTCAATAATGCGTATTTAAAAAATTTAAATTAAAAGAGTGAGAATTGAAAATGACAAGTGAAATCCTAAACAAAAGAGCAAGTACAATATAATCTAAAGTAAAACTATTAAAATATTGGGTTCCATCCTATAAGGTAAACCTGATAGGAGGAGTAACTCAAAGTCTTAGATAGTGTTTTATTGTTTTATAACTTCACGGTGTGGGAAACATACTTTAACACGCCCCCTTCGCCTAAAGCAGGATGAACAATAATGAGGTGTATAAATGGGCCAAAGAGACCCTTAACAAGCTACCTTTAATCACGGATGCTAAACAAGCAGTCAAAACCCAGCAACACTTGACTCTGATACCATGTTAAAACTTGGGGTTCCATCCTAAAAGGTTAACTTCATATGAAGAGTAGCTCAAATTCTTATATAATGTTTTATTGTATTATTGCTTTTCGGTGTGGGATAAATTTCTTTAACAGCAACAGAACTTGGTGGATATATAGTTAAGCAAAATCTACAAGTAATATTATACAATAAATCTGTGATACGCTCGTAATTTCCATATGTATTTTTGTGTTTTTAATTAGTTTTGATTGATTTTTACTTTGGAAATTACACACTTTTGGTGTAATAGTTTAGTTTGTTAAATACTTGTAAATTGTTCAGATTAGGTTTATTCTAAGCCCAAACAGGTCTTGATCACTCAAAGGACAGTTGGTGAACCCCAAAAGTAGAAGGAAGGTGCAAAATCATGAGACATAAAGAAGATCCTGATTTTTTGGTCTATACCCGGTCGAGTATGACCTATACTCGATCGGGTATCTTGTTGATATTTCAAATCGGAACGGATCCGAAGATAAAGGAACATGCAGGGAAGATCTTGACCACGATCGAGAGTCTATACCCGATCGGGTACACCGACACACCCGATCGGGTATGCCTTTAATTTCAACCCCGAATTCGATCGAGTATACCTCGAATCTAAGGTTTTACACATACCCGATCGAGTATAAGAACACATCCGATCGGGTATACCTATAGAATATAACCCAGAACCGATCGAGTATACTTCGAAGTTGACGTTTTACCCATACCCGATCGGGTACCGTGTATATACCCGATCGGGTACCCGAACTGCATCCCAAAAGCCTATAAATACACCTCCTTTCCTTCACAATGAGATCACCAATTCACATATACTTCTAAGCTCAGTCTAGAATAGTTCTTTCTTTATATTTTCTTCATGTTTAGTCTCCAAATGAGGAGCTAAACTCTTCCATCATGGTTTTGCTACTTTGAAGCTTAATGAATTTGTAAGTTGTGAGTTATTTTCTTTAATCTTCTTCCTTGAATATTGATTATTTCCTATTCATATTTCATATTAATGTTTTGAGCATTACTTAAAGGATCAACTAGTTTTGTCTCATACATTAATTATTACCAGAATCAATCGATTAATACGCTTGTTATTAATTCGGTTCTTTCAACGGTAGTAAAACTTGGATTATTAATGCATGCGTCTCATGGTTAATAATCTAAGGGGAATTAATTATATTGATTAAACCAATAAACCGCTTGTGTTGAGGTTATCAATCTCAATCGTTTTCATCTTAAGTTTATTGCTACTATCAGGCTAATATACGGCGCGTGTTCTATATTGACTCGGTAGTAAGTTTTATTAATGAGCGCGTCTCGTTATTAATAACTACCCTCGATGAACTGGATATACTCCTCAATTGAGTATTCGAGAGGAAGATAGTTATAGAGATATAACCGGGATCGACGAACATTTCATTAAGTGGATAAAAGCAAAACCAAGTCTTCATCCCTATTAAAGTAAACCACATAAGTCGTTCATCTTAGTGCTTAAATACATTTAAATTTATCAACAATCATAAAATCCCCCCTTTTTGTTACTAGTTACATAAAAGATAAATATTCCTTTCCCTGTAGATACGAACCTTACTACACTATACTCCGTATAAATGTTGTATTGTATTTATTTTGAGTGCACCTCACGACAAGTGCACGTCAATCTGCTTCAAGAATATATACACACACACACACACACAGATATATATATATATATATATATATATATATATGTGTGTGTGTGTGTGTGTGTGTGTGTGTGTGTGTGTGTGTGTCCAAGTATTATAAAAAACACAACAACAAGAAACAAGTTAGGAGGGGGACCGAACCAAAACCTCCCATGAAAGATGCAAAACATCTTAAGATAAGATATGAGGAAACGAAATAGAGTCCAAATATAGGGCTCCTCGTAGAATATTTGGCAAGGGATCCTCAGCACGCCATCTAAACGGGCCATCCCAACCCAATTTAGCCACAAAAGTAGCCACCTTGTTGCACTGGGCCGGTATTGGCCCAACCGCACACAAATACGGATGTTGGGCCACAAAGACAGAGCACCGCCCCAACAGAGTCGTATAAAGAGAGCTCAGCTTCTACTTGCGACAACCGAAAAGATGCTCTCCACTCCAAAGCCTTCCGGAAAACGTCCTCTATCTCCTCCCAGCTCAAGAGAAATCCTGCCGATGACTTTCCGTTCTGCCTGAAAATCACCTAACTAAGCTTCCAACTCCCCATAGAAGGCTTGGTCCACCTGCAAGTCTGAGGCTTTTCCTGGCCGAAGCTTTCAGATAATAAACCAGCTTCCCTAATTGTCGAGCTTCCTTGTAGTTTATCATTTGCATAGCACCAACTAACCTTGAATTTGTTGGGATTAATTAATTAATCTTAATTAGTTTACTTCCTAGGGAACATAAATTATCTTTCCTACTTTTATTGGAAAGATGAATGGTCTTCTTGGAAAGGTAAATTGTATTTCCTAGGGATTATTTTACTCCACTTGTAATGCCTATATAAGGCCACCAATTGTAATGTTCTATCAAGTGGAATATAATACATTCTCCTCCATTCCTTTGAGTTGTAAGTTAGCCAAACACTTAGAATATTTTTCGGATATTTGGGGCTTTCAGAATTTGGTAATTTGTGTAATAATTAAACATGAATCTGGAACCACGTCTTTCCAAGTAGCATCTCAGTATGCTTTCCAGATGTGCCAAACAATTACTCCAGGCACCACGGCAATATAGGAAGCATCCAAGGGTCTTGCCTCTTCCTGAAACCCACCATTTCCGGATTTGCGATTTAATATCGCTAACTGGTCTTCCTTGTAGATGCAGAGAGTTGTCAAAGAAATTCCTGACTGCACGAGCTGTGGGGCACCCAAGGAGGACATGGTCCTGGGATGCAGTAACTGAAAAACAAAGTGGGCAACATGAGGGATAAATGACACTAAATCTCACCAACTGTTCCGGGAAGTGTAGCCCCTTATGCCACAACCGCCATAGAAAAAATTTGATTTTTGGCACGTGCTTTTTATGCCAAATGTTTGAATAAGTTAGGTTTCTCCCTCCCCTACATGATGGCCTTGTAAGCTGACTTGGTAGTGAACACCCTTCCTTTGTATGCTTCCATTTGATAGAGGCTTGACCTCTCTCAACCATATGCTCTACCTCTTGGTTGAATTCTCCCCCAGGTTGGGGAGTCAAGAGGCTTAACCTCCCCCAGACTCCTCCTCCCATATTTTCTTTTCACAAGACCTGCCCAGCTAGATACCCCAGTTTGAAACTCCCACCAGAGTTTGATGGCTGAAATTTTTTGAGACTACAATGTGTCTGTGTGTATATATGTATCTATGTATGTATATGTGTGTGTGTATATACTACCTCCGTCCCATAAATTTCTTCTCACTTTAATTTGACTTGGCACGGAGATTAAGAAAGTGGAATAAAGTGGAAATGTATGGTTGTGCTTGTGTAAGAAAAAGGTGAAATGAATGTGAACCACACAAATTGTCAAAAAATGGTAAGTTGGAAGAATTTTTTGGGACAACCCAAAAAGGAAAGTGGGAAGAGTTTTATGGGACGGAGGGAGTATATACATGCATGCAAGGCATATTTATATATTACTCCAACTATCTAGTTGCAAAAACTCTAGTATTATATAGGAAAATTATCTTAAATAGGAGTAAAAAAGTTCTCAAATATTAAAGAAGCATGATTATTATGTTTTGTTTCTCGAAATAGAAGTCATTACGTACTGCCATGCATGATTAAAAAAACTGTCATTGATGGCAGTAAATATGCATTGTCATTTAATGCCTAGTACTGCAATTATTTTGGTAGTAATAATTCTGAAAAGACAGTAAATATTGTCATGTTACTTCTATTTCGTGAAGATAATTAAACATTACAATTCTGTTTTGAAATTCCAAAACAATTTTACTCCGAGAATTCTTAACAATTATATATCACTATCAACCGGGAATATGGGATCCAGACCGGCAACACTCTCCATGTCAAGATCATAACTGAATATTCCTCCCATTGAAGAGCAGCGTGTAGCAGTATTATTGTAGAAAATATTACCGCTGGTCGAAACCATAAGATCTTTCCATATACCGTTAGAGTCATCTTCATCCAGGTTCTCATCATTAGAGTAGCTAACATGATGATGATGATGATGATGATCTCCAGGTGATCCGCTCTCTCCAGATATCTCACTCTGTGATGTTTCTTCATCTTTCTTCACCAGAGTGATGAGTTCTTGCTGATGATGATGATTTGGATCCTTAGTAGCCCTGTCGTGGACTTCCATGCATGGGACATTATGAGTAACCTTTTGACGGCGGCGGCGGCGCTGATTATGATCCGTAGTAATAATATCATTATTGCCGTCGTTGTTATTGCAAGTGTGGCGGCTGTAGTACGTGGACTGGTACATTCCATCCTGGGTTCTTTGGACTTGTTTTGTTGCTCTGCATCCTGCCACATACTTGTGGGTGCACCTAAAGTAGCACCTTATAATAACCATTCAAATATTTAAGGTCAATTAAGTAATCATTTTTTAATCACCCATATACAAGTACAAGTATATTTGATTAAACCAAACATCGCACTCATAAGTAATTGTGTACGATTAGAAATTGTGGCAAAAACTACTTGAAATTCCAAAACTGAAATATATTAAATATGTGTATCCGAGCTTTATATAAAATGTTATCTTAGAATGCTGATCATATTTTTTTTAAATGTAAATTTATGGTGTCAAATGATAAGTTCACATTTTAAAATATTTTAACATTTGTGAGTATACAATTACGTAGTAATATTTAAAACTAGCTTTCCTTGTGAAATTAGTGATATTTCCCCGGTCTAGCTATATAATTGCAACACTTTTAATTTGTTATTTGTCATTGCATCATTTTCATTATTAACATATTTAATTGACTTTTAATAAATTAGTTGCACACTCTACTTTGACTTTATTTTATTCATGATGTATTAAAAGAAAATGCTTACATAAAAAGTTACAAAATTTGTCCCAAAATTATTACGGAGTATGTAATTTTTACTAGTCAATGTTAATAGCCAAAATCACGTATTGATAAGTATCAAAATAAAAGTGTTGCAATTATATACTTCGTATAGACTAAGGAATTATTAGTTATTTCACAAATAAAATTTAATAGTGTTAACTAAACTCTCATAAATGTTAAATGTATTTAAATCACTCATTTAACAACATAAATTTACATTTATGAAAAAAAATTATATAATCCTGGTGTTAGCATAACTTTTTCAATAAAGTTTGAGATATTTATATTACACAGACAAATTTGTTGTGTTCACCTCACACCCCTTCAAAATTTGGGGTATTGAATTATTTTTCCCTATAAAAAAATGCATGCATTTTATTTAAACTGACATTGCTTTTTTTAAGTGAAATACGAATTGTTTCAGTAATACGGAATATTTCTAGCCACTTAAAATAGTTGATTGTTCTACGTTTATATAATGACATTAAAATATCCCTTCCTTTTTAATTTAAATATATTTTACACACTGAATTTTAAATTTGTGTAACTTATTGCTTGAATTTTGATAATATATACCAAAATTTAGTTTGATAATATTTTTAAGAGAGTAAAGAGAATGGTTTTGACAAGACCTGAAATTTGAATTTGTGTGAATTTACTACAAACATAATTAAGTTATATGCAATACAAATAATTTGCAATGCTAATTAATTAGAATATACTCCGTATATACTACTCGTATAAGGTAAGGTATAGCCTTTCAAAATATTGTTTTTAATTTCTGATTTATATCCTCACTATATTAATTTAATACTCCGTAATATTTTTGGTGATTATTAATTTCTCTTTTTGTCGCATTTAATGTCAATAAAAACCGCAAATTATATGGTGCAACCGGCGCACCATGAGGATGGTGCGTCCGGTTGCAAAAACGACGTAGGATCAGATTTTTTTTTCTTTTTTGCTTTTGTTGTTAAAAATGATAATAACTTTTTTATTTTTGATCGGATTTTTATAAAATTTATATCAACATTTTTTATTTTTCATGATCTTTCAAATGAGACCAATATTGTGTATGTAATTTTAAGAAATTATCGAACTATTATATTAATGAGTATTGGATTATAAGAAAAATCGAATCTGTTTGGGAGATGATAAGTTTGTGAAATAGAAGATCGAATCTGTTTGGTAGTGGATCAGTGGCCTCATTTACATTTGATAATACATTGAGTTACATCTTTTTATGAGCGAGTTACATCTTTTTATAAGCAAGTTACATCTTTTATAAGCAAGTTACATCTTTTTATAAGCAAGTTACATCTTTTTAAAAGTGAGTTACATATATATAAACACGAGTTGCATTTGACATGCTTGAACGCGACTTACATGTATTTACACGTAAAGTTACATATTTTTACACGTAAAGTTACATATTTATACACGCGAGTTACATATTTATACACACGAGTTGCATGTGACCTGTCTGAATGCGAGTTACATATTTTTTTACGTAAAGTTACATATTGTTACACGTAGAGATACATATTTATACACACGAGTTGCATTTGACTTGACTGAAGAGTTACATATTTTAACACTTAAAATTACATATTTTACACACAAATGTTAATATGTTAAAATTACATAGGCAATATTGGTCTCATTTGAAAGATCATGAAAAATAAAAAATGTTGATATAAATTTTATAAAAATCAGATCACAAATAAAAAAGTTATTACCATTTTTTAAAAAAAAAAAGAAAAAAAAAAGAAAAATCGTCCCGGTATACGGTGCTCACCGTATACCGGTTGCACGGTATACGCACGCACTCAATAAAAACAAGGTCAATTTATCCATTAATTAACATAATTCTCCTAAAAGAAACATTAGAGCTCAATATACACGGAAGATAAAGGTAAAGGATGCACACTTGTACAGTTTTACCCTTTTCCAATAATTTACGCTAACAAATTAAACAATTATTATATATACGGAAGTACATATAATTAAATAATATATACCTGGGGTATTCTGATTTAAGTATGATCTTCTGGCCATATTTCCTCCATGCGCCACCATCTTCCATTGTTTTGGATATGTTGGTCCAAGTCTCCTCAGAATTTCTAAACGAATTAGCAAGTATTTTTTTATCATACGAATTAGCAAGTAATTAATAAATTAAAAAATCCTTCTTTTTAATTTTTGTTCGATCACGAAAAAAATGCACAATACGTGCCACTTTCATTCGTTAATAATCGTTATATATATATATATATATATATATATATATATATATATATATATATATCGAATTCAAAATTTCAAATTACATATAGATTTCTAAACTCCTGAATTTCGATCATATCATATAATTAATCAACATCATATTCTTATTGCAGAGTACTGATTTATACATTCAATAAAATTTGAATGTACAAAACCATTATATGCACCTCAATTCACTACGAAATCATTTGATTTTACACTCCACTTTTTTAAAATTTTGAGCTCAAAGAGGCAAACATTAATGATTTTAAATGAAATTTAAAGTCAAATATTAACCAGAATATAGGTGCAAAGTTAAATTCTCTCTTTCCTAAAATTCAAAAGTGTTATTCTTCAAATCCTTATTTAGTTACATTAATTACTAATTAATATCAAGTTCTATTCATTTTTTAAATAAAAGGTGGGACTTTCAATGTCACCATTATGAAAATTGTTGGTATTTATGATTATACCTACAGAGTATAATAGATTAGTACATATAAAACAAAATGGTTTTTCTAACCTTTTGTTGTAACGCCCTGTCCGGGTCTTCTTAGAGTTGTAATTTTGCTGATCGGAGCACTCTTGAATTGGGTTGCCGGAGTTCGCCGAACCGGCGGCGACCGGGTAAACCCGAGGAGCGACGCCGTAGGAGGTGAGGTCAAAGATGGCTTGAGTGAAAGATCTGCCGATTTCGAGCGTAAGCTGGGCGAAATTGTTGAACCCGTCATCTCCGAGCCGATTATGGCGCAGTACGGCTTGGAGCTCAGCCGCAGACGCCTTGCCTTTCATAAGCTCTGCAACTACTCTTTTCCGGCATACACGTGGACTCTCCGGTTTGTCCATTCCCGGCCGACGCTGTCTAGTAAGAGGAAATTTGAGAAAGCTGGGTAAAGAGATTTTTGGAAAAATTATACTCGTACGTAGTATGATTATATATTCTTTCTTTTTCTACAATTTTGAAGATTTATAGATAAATAAATAATAACTTGTGGTGAATGGTGATGACGAAGCTCCATCAATTGCGTCATCATTGAGCCAATTCCCGATATCTTTTCCCACAAACAAAATCATTTTTTTTGTTTATGAAAATTTGTAAAGCCAATGGGAATGCATTATGTTGGGGTTTGATACTTTGATTCCCTATTACTACGTATATTTGCTTTGAGTTAAATTGTTTAATCGTAACTTAGAGTTACTTTGATAATCCATATTTGAATTATGAAACTTTTGATTTCACGCACTCAGATTTGTAATAATCAAAATAAATAAAATTGTAGTTATTTTGGTGGCTGAATTGCCTAAATTTGATGAAGAGATCTACTTTAGCTACTTTTTCTTTTTTTCTTAATTTTATAAATGAAAGATATTTTAAATACTATCGTATAATTTTTCCATAATTGGGGAAATTCGGTCAATTCATCTATTTCAGTCAAAATTTACTAATTTCAATAAATTCGTCGAATTTAATCAATTTTGGTGTTATCAAACGGAATCTTAGTCTCATGCGAATATGTATGACATGATATGGTATGATCTCATGTACTGATGTACCTATTTTATTATCTTTTAAGTCTAGTTTAGTACGAAGTATGTTTTATTTTGTATGACTTGTCTAATTTGTTCGAATAAGTTTTATTTTGTATGAATTGTGTAATGGTAAATAAAAACATGCATCAAAACCTTCGAATAAATTTGAATCACATTTTCAAAACAACTGTAATCAATGTGAATTGATCTATGGAAACTTTATGTTTCCATATCGATAGATATGGTCGTATCAGGGGGGAGCCAGACTTTAGGGTAAGGGGTCAGATTTTTTTATATATAAAAATATACTAATATATATCTATTTATTAATTGGGGGCGGCAAAAAAAAATTAAGGTAAAATTAATAAAAAAAAATTAAAAATGGGGGGCAATGTCCCCCTTGGGGTTACATGTAGTTCCGCCCCCGTGGTATAATAATCTAAGGATCAATTCCTTTTAACTTATGTTAAAATAAATGTAAGATCTGATTCAATATATTTGAAAAGAGAATTGAAAATAAGAATTGGCCAACAATTACTAATTTATTTCATTATTATATTCCAATTAATGTGCATTGAATATACCAAAACTGTCAATATTTTTACTGCTCTATCGGAATTCTTAACTCGTCTATTTTGGAATGAAAATACTCAAAATATGTAAAACTTTTTTTGTTAAATAGGTTTAGCTCTCAATCATGTTGACAAGTTCAAAAGTAACAAATGGCTCAGTTTAATTTCTAAGCACTTTCAAAATTTTGTATTATGCCTTTTAGCCTGTTCAAACGCGCTTGCATATTTTTTGTTAAAGATGAGAGAAAAAGGAAAAGTTACCCATTCAAGTATCCAGCCACTTTGATCTTTTACTAATTCTGGTCAATAGCCCAAACATTTTAATCATTTTGTACACTGTATCGTTGAATCTTAGCCCATTTGTGTAGTGGACTATATATTACTTTTGAATGGATTGATCCATATTTATTAGTGCAAACATATAAAAGGAATTCTAATTTCAACTGCTCAATATTTACGTAGTCTCATATTCAGGTGTAGCAGGACGCATGGTAGGAAATAATTTATTTCGAGTTTTGAAGTAGATGCAGTTTGGACTTTGGAGCCTGTTTTTTACTCCCTCCGTCCCACTAACAATGGGATAAGAGAGAGTGACACGCAAATCAATAAAAAGTGATTTATGTGTTTGATATTGAATTGATAAAGTAAGAATGATTTAGAGTCACACAAACTTTGTCAAATTTGGTATGGGACAATCTTAGTGGGACGGATCGATAAGGTAAAACGAGACAATCATAGCGGGACGGAGGTAGTACTACGTAGTACCTCTGTTCCATAAATTTCTTATCACTTTGACTTGGCACGGAGATTAAGAGAGATGAATAAAGTGAAAATGTATGATTGTGATTGTGTAAGAAAAAGGTGAAATAAAAGTGAACCACATAAATTGTCCAAAAATTATAAATGAGAAGCATTTTTTGGAACGACTCAAAAAGGAAAGTGAAAAGAATTTTATGGGACCGAGAGAGTATAAGAGATATGGTGGATGACACCCATTCATTAAAATATCCCCCGGCCCTGTGAGTGGAAGACTTGATTTCAAACCCAGAAAGCTAATTGGGAAGGGAGAATAAAATACCTTCACTAGAACTAAGGGTCGTCTATTTTTCAAAAATGTTTAAATTTCCTTACATAAGAGTTTTTATTTGTGATTGAAGAAAAGTATTTGTATAGGGCTAGAGCTGTTACCCCCGGATCGCCCATATCGCTGAAACTCCACCTGCCGCTGAGCTACTGCGGCCGCTGGAATCTGCCACCGTCATCATGGATTAATCTTGCCACCAACGGTCTGATTTGAGTATACGCAAGGGAACTAGGAGACAATTAATTAGGTTAGTTATTAATTAATTAAATTAGGTGTTGAAATGAAATAATTAGTCCCTCAGAAAATCAAACATATGATCCTATTTTTGGAAGCTAGAAAGCTATCTTTTAGTCTTTAGTGCATGTTTGGCGAGCCTAAATCTCTGTCTTTTAACATTTGTATTATTTAAAAAGTTTTAAAAGTTTCTAGTTGTACGTTTGACATAACAAATTTTAAGATTTTTTCCGGTTACTAAAAGATGTTATAAGGAGTAGCATCCGAATAAAAGATCTTTTTGGAGATGCTATAAGGAGTAGCATCTGAGAAAAATTTGTGCCTTTTAGGATTAATAGGTCCTAACAGCTTGTATACCAAATTAAACAAAAATAAACCAAAAGTCAGTTTCAACCAAATAACTGCCACATTTTTCTTTTAAGATATTTCCCGTTTTAAAAATGAACTTTTAAATGTGCAGTTTTTACTCGTGCATTGCACAGGATGAATTTCATAGATATATTATTCTCTATAGAAACATGTTTGTAATAAGAAGCTTCATACATGATATATGTATTCTGTAATGAATAATGATCACATTTCGACAATAAATTATAAAGTCACGATAAAAATTATAATAAATATTTTATCATGTAAAATGACAACTAATTGTACATACATTTTACAAACAGGAAAACACACATTCGAACTAAATTCATTCAAAAAAAGTTTTGGTGTGTTTTGAATTTTTAAATATTCATAAATAATATTTAAAATGGAATGCTTTTATAGCATAGTTCTACATTGTCAAATTGTAAACAATAAATACTAAGGTATGTTCGATCTTAAAAGACTTAGGCTGTGTTTGGCACACTCAAAAAGCTAATAAAGGGCTGAAATTCGTAAACTTCGGTCAATTTTAGTTTAAACGAAAGTGTTTGTTTGAAGGGTTGGACACTGCTTGAGCTGGAAAAAGCAGGCTGAAATGAAACATTGAGGCACCTAACGTTTAGAATCAGTCCTCTATTTTCAGACTTTACATTCCTACACTATCCCTTGTTCATCCGCCATACTCTCTTCCGATTTTTTCACTGTTTATGCCAAGGCTTTTCAGATATGATTTCTTTTTACTTTTGCACCCATTTTTTGCTGATACAACTCCTATTTCTCATACTCCATCTGTTCTCTGCCCGGATAAAGTATAACCGAAGAACCATGTATAATTATTTCATAGAATCTATATGAATGTGAATCACTATCTTTTGTTGCAAATTAATTAAATTAACCAACTAAAAAATAATTATTGAAAAATATCTAGGTAAAGTAGGTTTACGTAGTGTTTATGATGCCTTACATACATATGTGTGCCTATATTGGTAGGCTAGAAACTACAAAAAAGAGATAATATGCAATTTGATTAATTTTATAATTCATATTTTACCTTATTCTTTTTTTCCAATCATTAGCCTCCAGCTTCAGTTCGTTGTGCCAAACATAACCACAATCTATGGCTTAGTTTACCTTATTCTTTTTCCCCTAACTCAGAGGTTCCGACATTTCCGTGCTCTCTCAAATAAGTTATGGCGATCTATATTTCAATTTATCGCTCTCTCCCTATTAGCGAGAACCCAAAGCTATCATATGCACCATCGTTTTCCATCTCCATTTCCCTTTCATCTCCTATTTATTCTCCATATTTAGTTAGGTATGAAATGGTAACAATTCAATATCTCTCTTATTTGCTTGCTTTACTCTAGTTTTCTTTTTAGTAAACAGTTACTCCAGCTTTTCCCTCTATGAATAGCTTGTGGTTTCATTACACTCCATTTTGAATGATAATATTTTAGCATCCATTTCAGAAGGGGTTTTCCTCATGGATACCCATTGAAATTTAAAAATGTAAAATGTTTGCTTGCAAAGTTAAAGTGTTCTATTTAGAGGTGGAACGGGCTCGGGTCAGGCTGAGACGGGCTCCAGGTAAAAACTACTCAGTCCCGATACCGGTCCGGGTTACAACCGAGACTTGGCCGGACCTGGGCGGGTCGTGTCAGGTAGGATTTATTTATTTTATGGTTTTTCGAATTAATTCCAACCCCACCCGGCCCCACTCCCCTACCAACCTAGCAGCCCTAAAAAATTAAAACATAGTATTGGGGGCCGGACCGACCGGTCCATCATTTAATTAGGAAGTTCGTAGCCCACCAAAATAATGCTCCGGTTCGGGCCGCAGTCCCGGGCCTGGCCGACCGGGTCAGACAGGTACAACACAATAATGGACCGTGTCGGGTCGAACCGGCCAAGTCCACACCTAGTTCTATTGCTCTTTGCTATGACTGGGGGATTAAAATCCAAAAGTAAGCCACATTACTGACATGAATTCTTAATGATAGGAAAAGAATTCGGACACAGTAAAAACTCAACCATATATTAGAAAAGTTTACAGATAGTTTTGCGAAGAAGAAGATATATTTTGAATTATCTCCAACTACTTTACAATCAACTTTTTACAGAAAATGGAATTACAACCAATTTCAGTTTAACAACTAACTAAACCATTAGCTATCATAAGTGTTGAGTCACAATCCCATGTGGCCAAATACAATTGACTCAGTTGTGAATTCATTGCAATCCACTCCCTAATTTGAAGCTTGTCGTCAAGCTAGGATTCCAAGGGAAACTCAGACCATTGGACCATTGGGCCATTGAATGAACTGCTGCACTTTTTATTCTTTCATAATCTTCCAGTCCAAAATACTTGTTGCTTCAATCCTCAGTTGTAAACGGCCATCCACTACAGCCTTCAGGAATAGAACTTATTATA